TGTGTGTCGTGCTCACCTGAAGGTTGTAGCTGAATATCATTCTTATCATAAGAAGTTTGAATCAAATTTTATGTAAGTGGATGAACTGGAAAGTACCAAGATGGAAGTTTCTGATTTTCAAGAGGCCGTTACCCCTATGAAAGATTAGAATCTTAAACATGGACCATTTTTTCGTTGAATTTTAGACCCCTAGGGCCAAATTCCACTAAGGGGCTTTACCCCCTTCTTGTTTTTTGGTTTAAGTTTGAACAATTTTCCTTTATGTTTGGATTATTTGTTGGTGAATTTTTTTTTTAAATTTTGGATACTACGTTTTTTTAATTACCATCCTTGAATAATTAAATTGTTTTGAAAGGATATTTGTTTTTAGAACTTTTATGCATGTGATCAATTTAAATTAATTTTATTCCTAGGTATGACCAATGGGAAAGTTAGTTGTCTAGTAGATAGTGCAACCACGCACACCGTTTTGCGTGAACACATTTATTTCAGTAACTACATACCTAAGAGTACACCTCTGACAACCTGATCGAAGGATACGGTAAGACACGTATAATGTTGTCCAATGATACAATCTTGACCATTGATGAGGCACATTATTCTCCACATTTTGGAAGAACGTTGTTGAGTTTCAAAGACATTTGAGACAATAATTCCCACGTTGAAACCTATGTAGAAAATGGAGATGAATTTTTGTGCATCACTTCCTACGAATTGGCCAGAAACGTATTCTAGAGAAGATGGAGCGTATCTCGAGTGGTCTACATACTACAACCATACGCCTTATAGAGAGCCACTATGTGGCCGACCCTACCTTATGGATTGAGCACAAAATTATACTTTGGCTTTACTGTTTGGGACACCTTAGACGAACAGCGATGTACCGTATCCTCAAATCTTCACATGGACATTCATTAACCCATAATTTAGGTTCGATTCAAGGGATTGCATGTCAAACCTGCTTTATTGGAAAGCTTATCATTAAGTCTTCTTATGACAAGATTCGCTTGAATCCTCTTATTTTTCTACAAAGGATTCAGGGGGATATTTGTGGACCGATTCACTCTCCATGCAAACCATTTAGATACCTTATGGTATTGGTTGATGCTTCCACACGTTGGTCACATATGTGGTTGTTGTCCATAAGAAACGATGTCTTCTCCAAATTGTTGGCACATGTTATCAAGCTCAGGGCTCACCACCCTAATTATTTGATCAAATCTATTTGATTAGATAATGCTGGAGAATTCACATCTAAAACTTTTGATGACTATTTCATGTCGGTTGGGGTTGAAGTTGAACATCATATATCCCATGTTCACACCAGGAATGGCCTGGCAGAGGCATTCATTAAACGTTTGTAAATGATTACATGATCGTTGGTTATACGTACCAAGCTCCCGATCACTGCTTGAGGCCATGCAATATTGCACGTAGCCGTGTTGTGACCCAACCATATAGTGCATTTCAGTTGGTTACTAGATACGAACCCGACATATTGCATCTGCACATTTTTTGTTATGCGGCGTATATGCCGATTTTGTCGCCCTTAAATACAAAAATGGGGCCTCAGCGAAGGATGAGAATCTATTTCGGATATGATTCTCCTTCAATTATTCGTTACACAATCTTTTTACCACTCATTTGGTGGATTGTTACTTCTATGAGACAGTCTTTCCGTTGTTAGAGGGAGATAAAAACGTCATCGTTCTTGAAGAACGATGCGAATTATCGTAGACGACTCCTACTCTATCTCATTTAGATCCCCGCACCGTTCAATCTGTAACTAAAGTGAAATGCATATTAGATCTTCAAAGCATGCTAGATGATTTCACAGATCTAGGGTGAGTGACAAGATCACATATTCCAGCTACAAAAGTGCTTGCAAAGATGGATGTACTAAATGTATGACAAACTTCCCTTCTGGAGGCTCGGGATGCCAATTCGACTAATCCACGTATATTAGTGGCTAGCCAATCCTCTGCCCTTGCATAAAAGCGTGGCAGACCTCTTGGTTCAGATGATTCACACTCCTGGAAAAGGAAAGCCACGACATAGGTTACTGAGCATATCTTGAATCTAATTATCACTTACTCATTCTATCTAACTTATGACGAAATTCTAGATTAGGGAAGCGTCCTTAAAGGGACAAACCCACCTCCCGAGAATCGCGAGATTTCGGTCCATTATGCTAGCTTGGATGATGTTTAGTGTAGAAATGAGATGATAATTGACAATGCATTAGCGTATCCAGTAGTTACTCAGATCATGTTGAGCGATGACATTGAACCTAGTTCCATTGATGAATGTCGATGGAGAACTGATTTGTCAAACTGGAAACAAGCAATCCAAGTCGAACTCAATTCACTTGCAAAATGTAAGGTGTTTGGACCTGTAGCTCATACTCCTCCACATTTGAAGCCGGATGGCTACAAATGGGTTTTCGTTCGAAAAAGTAATGAGAAGAATGAAATTATGCATTTCAAAGCTCGTCTTGTTACGCAAGACTTCTCACAACGCTCCGCGATTGACTGTAATGAAACTTATTCACCCATTATGGATGTGATTACTTTTCATTACCTTATTAGTTTGGAAGTTTTCGAAAAACTGAGTATGCAGCTTATGGACATAGAAATTGCGTATCCCTATAAGGATCTTGATATGGAAATTTATATGAAAGTTCTCGGAGGACTTACTTTGACTGGATCAAATAGTTCCAGACCTCGAAACACGCTCTCAATTTGGCTGAGGCGTTCACTATACGATTTGAAGCAATCCGGAAGAATGTGGTATAACCATTTAAGCGAGTATTTGACTAGTTAGAGATATGTGAACAATGAATTATTCCCTTACGTGTTCATTAAGAAGTCACATTTCAGTTTTGCGATTGTTGCAGTTTATGTCGATGACATGAATCTCATCGGAACTTCTGAAGAACTCGAGAGAACTGTCGCGCACATGAAATTAGAATTTGAGATGAAAGATCTAGAAAAGGCTTGATACTGTCTCGGTCTTGATATAGAGCACTGTTCGGATGGAATCTTAGTACTTCAATCGAACTATACCCATAAGGTGTTGCACTGCTTTAACGAGGATAAAGTGAAGCCTTCGAGTACTCTTATTGTTATTCAATTGCAAAAATGAGATCCCTTTCGTCCGAAGGAGGATAAAGAAGAGATTTTGGAACCCGGAGTTCCTCATCTAAGTACGATATGCGCTTTTTTATACTTAGGTCAATGCACTAGACCTAACATCTCATTCGTTGTTAATCTTTTGGCAAGATATAGTAATGCACCAACATGCTGACACTGGACTGGTGTTAAAGACATATTCCGTTACCTTAAAAGTATTACAGATCTGGGCCTGTTCTATCCCTATGGATCCTCGAGTGATGTCGTAACCCCTAGTTCTCGAGTCGATTCCCGCCTTGTTAGTTATGCCGACGTAGGTTACTTTTCTGATCCACACAAGGCGCTCTCTCAAACGGGTTACGTCTTTACCGTTGGAGGCACCGCAATATCTTAAAGGTCAACTAAATAGACCTTAATTGTCACTTCGTCTAACCATGCTGAAACGCTCACCTTATATGAAGCTACTCGGGAATGCTTCTGGCTGAGAGTAGTTGTGGGCCATATTCGAAGCTCCTGTAATCCTTACCTTATTGTTGACTTCCCCATGACAATGTATGAAGATAACGTAACATACATTGAACAGCTCAAGAAGGGTTACATCAAATGAGACAACACCAAGCACATGGCACCGAAGTTTTTCTTCTCACTTCAACAACAAGAGCTCAGAAGATTGAAGTCACACAAATCCATTCACAAGACAACATGGCCGACATTTTCACCAAATCACTACCGAATGCGACGTTTCAGAAGCTTGTTCAAGGAATAGGTATGCGTAAACTTTCTGAGTTGTAACATTGTTAGTTCTCTTTGGAATTATGTCAAACTCAGGGGGAATATCTTGAAGTATACTTGTTTGATCTTAATGTACTCTTTTTCCCTACAATTAGGAGCATTTTTCCCTTTAGGTTTTTGCTGTCTAACGAGGTTTTGACGAGGCACCCACCTTGGGTTGATCATATCCCTGATGAAGTCCCGTAGATGTTTCATTTGACTTTGCATTTTCTCATGCACTTTTCCTTAGACTATGTGTTTTGTCCTTACTCGGGGTTTACCATAGCCATTGGGTTTTTTTTTTTTTTTTTTTTGAGACTTAGTTCCATATGCAATTTCCTATTTTGTTTGAGACTAGCATGTTCCAAGAATTAGTGTTGATGAGTCGACTTCCTCAGCTCAACATGATGCCAAATCTACTTGAGTATTTACACACTCAAGGGGGAGTGTTATAAACATTGTATTAAAGTGTGATTGTGTAAATCCTAGATTAGATTTGGTATTAGTTAATCCTAGATTAGATTTGGTATTAGTTATTCTTCCCTATTAGGACTTGTATTCCTTGGAGGAGAAGGATTCTTCCTTCCCTTATTACTATAAACAAAGGCATTGTGTAGGGGTAATAACACATCTTCTACACAACCTTACAAACACATCTCTTTGCCGCACCTTCCTCTCTCCCTTGTCAGATTAAAATAAGCCACAACAAAAAGGTAAAAGTAGGGAGTCGGAGAGAAAAAGTGTAGGAGTAAAACTATGGCTACTTGTGGGGAGTAATTTTTTTTTCTAATCTAATATTTTCTTTCAATTATGTATAAAAGGGTATAATAATAATTTTATTAATTTTGTGTTTGGTAGCCTAGAGACATATATAATGACAAAAAGTAATGATTTGTGTTTGGTACTAATGTTTTTGTAATGGATAAGATAACGGCACTGTTGGTGGAGATGGTGGTTGCAACAAGAATTTGAAGTACAAATAACAATTCTCAAATGAAACTAACATTTTCCAAATGAAATTAACTTTCTGGGCAATTTAATTTTTAGAGTGCAAATAATAATTTGCAAACGAATTATACAACGAGATAAAGTACATACCGAAGCTTCTAATCGAGAAGTTTTTGCAAATCTTTTCGTTTTGTTTATGCTTTCTAATAAGCTTTCTTTTGGAGACAACTGCATGGCAAAAGCAAAAGGAATGTTATATTATTTCGAGATCATCAATGTATGTACGATTTACAAGTCCATCACGATTTTCCTAATAGTTCTTGGAGTACGGATGAACTTTTGATTAATTTTAAGAGAAATAATAATTAAATTATATAGAGCGTCATGAGGAAAGAATATGATAAATGTCTATAAAAACAGAATTCATTATTCTAGACAAATAGTTCAATGTGAAATCTATTTCTCTTCTTCCATTTTGAGTGTTATTTCTCCTTTGACATTACTACATCTAAATTACATATTAATAGAACCCTCTTTGTCAAAAAAAAAAAAAAAATGGTAAAAAAACTATTTAGTCTTCTATCACAAAAAAAAAGTTAAGGGTAATAATGTAATTTTACAAACCAAAATTTTGCTATTTTTTATTTAAACCTTACATACAGGTGATTTTAAATTTTCTATTTTTTTTATTAAAAAAAAAAAAAAAAAAAAAAAAAACCTCTCTCACTTCCTCCCACTTCAACGTCCACGTTCAATCACTCTCCTTCAGTTTTAAAAACAAAAATAAAAAATTTCACACACAAACTGTGTGTGGTTATGCTAGTAGTAATTAATAGACTAACAATATTAGTACTACGGTTTAGTTGCATTCTTTTTCATTTGAAAGTGAAAGGTCTTATATTCGATTCCCATAAAAAACGAATTTGAATTATATTATTGCTACACCCTCCCTGAACATAATATCATTTGTTAGAAGAGAAAAATGGGATATTAGAGTTTGATTCTGTAATTTCTTAACACTGCACGGACAAGCGGTGTACATCTGGAGCGCCAATTGTCGTACTCTTCATTCAGCTATACCGAACACTTTCTCTACGGAACAACCCAAAAAAATAAAAAAATAAAAGTAGAAGAAAAGAGATTGGAAAAAGGGTAGAGGAACCGGAGAAGGAAAAAAAAGTCAAATTGCAAAGAAACTGATTGCCTTTTTCATACAGGAGTAGGGTTTTCCTTTTTCCATACAGGAATATTAGATGAATGAGCCCACCAAATCTTCAACCGCACAGATCCAGCAATATCTTTTAAAAAATGATGATGAATATTTCCAGAAATCCTTGAATTAACAGTTTGAGAAGTAAAACACAGAATGAAGTCAAAGAAGGAAACGGAAGGACATACCTTATTTCTTCTTAAGCTTAAACAAGTAAGAACAAGCTGCAAGTAAACCAGTAAGAATGGAGGCGGGTGCGTAACTCTTTTTTTTTCTTCTAACAAGCTGCAATTAAAATCAGAGAAAACATAAAAACGGAAGTGTGAACAGAATTATAGAGTAGGAATACAGGAAATCTGAAGGCATAAGTAGCCTTTCATGTTCTTGGAATAAAAGATGAACACATATGCAGGCAGAAGCTGTTATCTTTCTTAGCAGTAGCTTCAAGCTTGGCTTGGAAATGACAAGTCAAGCAATGCTCTAAATAAATAGTCCATTTGTTTAAGTCAAGGGTATCAGAAAACAATGCTATCAATAATTGAAGGAAACGACTAGTAGCGCAACACGCGTCCAATTTTGTAAAAGACAGACACTATTTTTGGAATTTTCAAACCAAAGAGGAATGCGCTAATTTAGTAACTGAATTATTATCAAAGTAAAAATTAGGTTTTTAAATTATGTTTTTAGAAAAATTAGTTCTTAAACTAATTAAAAATCTGCTAATTGTTGTAGGCCTATTTGATTGAATGATTTAGGGTTTAAAGAGAGAGGGGGGGGCCGGCCACTATTAGAGAGAAGAGAGATTGATTTAATTGTGAGGTGTGTTTGATTCACCCCATTGTGCCTTTATTTATAGTAGTAGGAAGGGTAAAACCTTTCCCTTTAGGATTACAATATTTAATAGGTAATCTAATTCTAATAGGAATATAAGATACTTTCCCAGATTCCCTAGGATTTACACAATCACATTCCTATTCTAAATATGACTGCAACACTCCCCCTTGAGTATGTAAATACTCAACAAACCATCGCATCAGATCATCCCAGGATGGGTGCCTCATTAAAACCTCATTAGGTAGCAAAAATCCAGTGGGAAAAATGCTCCTAATCATAGGACAAAGAGTACATTAAGATCATGTGAGTATGCTTCTAGATACTCCCCCTGAGTTAGACATAACTTCTAAATAAGAGAACTACAAGTGATTCAACTCAGATAATTTACGCATACCGATTCCTTGGACGAGCTTCTGAAATGTAGACTTGGGTAATGACTTGGTAAAGAGATCGGCCAGGTTGTCCTGGGACCGGATTTGCTTGACTTCAATGTTCTAATGCTACTGTTGCTGGTATGAGTAAAAGAACTTTGGCGCTATGTGCTTGGTGTTGTCTCCCTTGATGTATCCCTTCTTCAGTTGCTCGATACATGCTGCATTGTCTTCAAAGATCGTCGTAGGAAGGTCAACGACTGATGTAAGACCACTAGTGCTTCAAATATGTTCCATAACTTCTCTCAGCCAAAAGCACTTACGCGATGCTTCATGCAGGGCAAGAATTTTAGCATGGTTAGACGAAGTCGCAACTAGCGTTTGCTTGGTAGACCTCCAAGATATAGCGGTGTCTCCAACGGTAAAGACATAACCCGTTTGAGAACGTGCTCTATGTGGGTCAGACAGATATCCAGCTTCTGCGTAACCAACAAGGCGAGAATCAATCTGAGGGCCATAGGGGGCGGCAACACTTGGAGATTCGCGGGTATAGAACAAACCCAAATCCGTAGTACCTTTGAGGTAGTGGAAAATGTCTTTAACACCATTCCAGTGCCTGCTTGTGGGCGCATTATTGTATCTAGCCAATAGATTCACAGCGAAGGAGATGTCGGGTCTAGTGCACTGAGCCAAGTACAATAAAGCCCCAATTGCACTTAGGTAAGGAACTTCGGGTTCCAAAATCTTTTCCTCATCCTCCTTTGAACGGAAGGGATCTCGTTTAGCATCTAGAGTCTGAACGACCATGGGTGTACTCGAAGGCTTCGCTTTATCCTCATTAAAACGTCGCAACACCTTTTGGGTATAGTTCGATTGATGTACTAGGATTCCATTCGAACAATGCTTGATCTCCAGGCCGAGACAATATCGAGTTTTCCCAAGATCCTTCATCTCAAATTCCGATTCCAAGTGTGTAGTAATTTCCTCAAGCTCTGCGGGAGTCCCAATGAGGTTCATGCCATCGACATAAACTGCAATGATTGTAAATCCAGAATGTGACTTCTTTATGAACACGCATGGGCATAGTTCGTTGTTTAGATAACCCTAACTTGTCAAATATTCACTCAGACGGTTATACCACATTCGCCGGGACTGTTTTAACCCGTAAAGTGACTTCCTCAACCTAATTGAGAGAGTGTTCCGTGGTTTAGAACTATTTGAACTAGTCAATGGACGTCATTATGAAACTTTCATATAAATTTCCGTATCTAGATCCCCATAGAGATACGCGATTACCACATCCATAAGTTGCTTATTCAGTTTTTCGGAAACTACCAAACTGATTAGGTAGCGGAACGTTATAACGTCCATTACGAGGGAATGCGTCTCCTCGTAATCAATCCTTGGGTGCTGAAAGAAGCCTTGCGCTACGAAGCGTGCTTTGTATCGCACTATTTCATTCTTCTCATTACGTTTCCTCATGAAAACCCACTTGTAGCCAACGGGCTTCACGCGTGGCAGTGTAGGAACGATAGATCCAAATACCTTACGTTTCGCGAGCGAATCGAGTTCGACCTGGATTGCTTGTTTCTAGTTTGACCAATCTGTTCTACGTCGGCATTCATCGACGGAACATGGTTCAATGTCATCGCTAAGCATGATGTCAGTAGCTACTGAGTACGAGAATGCATCGTCGACGATCATCTCATTTCTATTCCAAACCTCATCCAATATTGTGTAGTGAACCGAAATTTCACGATTCTCGGGAGATCGACATGTTTCCTCTGAAGCATCACCGTAATCTAGAATAACCTCATGTGTTGGACCGGATGAGTGAGCGATGGTCGGATTCAAACTAGGGTCACTAATTGGTGCCATTTTCCTCTTTCGGGGTTGTGAATCCTTTGAACCAAGGGGTCTGCCACGCTTCAGGGTATGAGCAGATGATTGGCTAGCCGCGTGGAGGGTGCAGCCTCCCCATCTTCGGGGATGGTCCAGCCTTCCCAGGCAGGTTGTTGACCTACACGGGGTACATCTATCATTGTAGGTGTGTTTGCAACGGGTATGTGTGACCTTGTCACCTTTACTAGATCGTTAAAAGCATTCGGCATGCTTTGAGCAATGCTCTGAAGATCTATAATTCGACTCACCTCAGTTTCAAACTGGGCAGTGCAGGGATCTAAATGTGACATAGTGGGAGCATACCATGATAATTCACGACGTTCTACGAGAACGTTAGCATGCTTATCTCCCACTAACGACGGGAATACTGTCTTATCAAAGTGACAATCCATAAAACGTGCGGTAAAGAGACATCCTGTCAAGGGTTCTAAGTAGCAAACAATTGATGGCGAATCATAACCGACATAGATTCCTATTTTTCTTTAAGGACCCATTTTGGTACGTAGCGGCGGCGCTATTGGCACATAAATAGCGCACCCAAACACCTGTAAATGCGAGATGTCAGGCTCGTATCTAGTGACCAACTGTAACGGTGAATGTGGTTGGATAGCAGTGGGCCTCAGGCGGACCAACAAAGCTGCGTGCAATATTGCATAGCCCCAGGCAGATACCGGCAGTTTGGTTCTTATAACCAAAGTCCGAGCTATCAATTGAAGGTGCTTTATGAAAGCTTCTGCCAAGCCGTTTTGGATGTGAACATTGGTCACAGGATGTTCCACATTAATCCCTACTGACATGCAATAATCGTCAAAAGTCTTTGACGTAAACTCTTCAGCCTTATCCAGTCGAATCGACTTGATTGGATAATCAGGGTGGTAAGCCCTTAGCTTAATGATTTGAGCTAGAAGTTTAGCAAACGCGGCGTTGCGTGTGGACAACAAGCAAACATGTGACCATCTTGTCGATGCATCAACCAACACCATAAAGTATCTAAATGGTCCATAGGTTGGTTGGATTGGTCCACAAATGTCCCATTGAATCCTCTGAAGAAATTTAGGGGGGTCATGAATAATCTTTGTATATGAGGGTTGAGTATTCAACTTCCCTAAAGAACACGCTTTGCATGGTAGGAGTCTAACATAGGGATGTAACTTATACCCGTGTGAAGATTTGAGGATATGGCGCATCATGTCACGTCCAGGATGTCCCAAAGGATCATACCAAAGCAACAAAGTGTCCGGGAACTCAGGCATAGGGCCGGCCACACTATGGGCTTCTATGCCACGAATGGTTGTGATGTACAACCCACTTAGCAAGCGTTCCAACTTCTCGTGAATATGCTTCTGGCCATATTCATACGAAGTGATACAAAGAAATTCAGAACCATGATCTTCAGTGGTTTCAAGATGATATTGATTATCTCGAATATCTTTAAAACTAAGTAATGTTCTTCTGGAACGTGGAGAATAGAGTGCCTCTTTAATGGTCAGAATTGTACCATTAGACAACATGATACGTGTCTTTCCATATCCTTCAATCAGGTTGGATAAGCCTGAGAGAGTTGTCAAAGGAGTTTTCTTAGGTATGAAGTTAGTAAAATAGTGTCGTTCAAGCAAGATGGTGTGCGTGGTTGCACTATTTACCAGACAACTAACTTCCCCACTAGACATACCTAGAAATAAATTGATTGAATTGGTCACATGTATAAATATAAATCCATTCATTCAATTAAGCAATTCGAGAAAATAATATCCATTCAAATAACAATCCATAATTCAAAACAAACCAAAACCAAACAAATTATTCCAAATACTTAGAAAAATTGTTCACAATTAAACCATAAACCTAGCAAAATAGAGGGTAGGGCTGGCCACTCCTAGTGGGTTTGGCCACTAGGGGTAAACACCTTAAATACATGTCTATTTTATTCATCCATAGGTGTTGACGCCTCCTGAAAATCCGATATCTCCATTGATGTAGTTGCATCTTCCTGATGATCCACATGTGCAAAGTTAGACTCACGATGAGAATGATATTTAGCAATAGCCTCAGGGGAAGCTCAGCATACGCGTGACCAATGATCCCTTGATCCACAGCGATAGCACATGTCCATTTCAGTAGAAGCAGCCTGAACGGAAACTTTGCCCTTGTTCTTGAAGTTTAGGACCTTAGGGGCGAGTGGTGGACGCTGCTGGGTCACATTTCTTCCCTTAGGTGCAGCACTCTGTTGACCTTGGGCCCGTGGTTGGGCTTGCCGCCCATTGCCATGGCCACGACGGTTCTTTCGTCATTTATGGCTGCTAGAATAGGTGCATACGCTTCAGGCATGTATATGTCTTTCTGGTGATCGAAATGGTCGGCCAGAGCAAGCTAG